GTATTATCTTTATTCCTATTTTACACACTGGAAAACTAAGGCAGAGAGGTTAAGCAGCCAGCCAGCACCTCCAGCTGAGAAATGGAGGAGCCAGGGTTCACACCTGAGCAGGTGGGTCCCGGAGGGTGAGTAAGTGGCCCTCTGGGATGTCCCTGTCTTACCTCCATTGGAGAGCTGAGGAGGCGCAGCTGGGACAGTGGCTGCAGTTCTGCCAGTAACAGTCCAGGGGCTGGGTTTCCTGGCCGTGCCAGGCCCAGGGGCCTTCACGGGGGTAGAGGGCTCCCAGGGCCGGCTGCACTGAGACTCCCCAGTCACTGGCCTCACTTCCTCAGTCACGGCCACGCTGCGGCGTGGGGGCATCAGGGTGATGAACACAGATGAGGCGACCCTCTTCTCAGGCTTTGAGGCCATTGCTCCAGGTCCTGTGGAGACAGGGTCAACACAGCTTAGGGCTTCCCTCCTCCAACAGGACATAAGGGGGTGGCCATCCCCGCTCCTTGGGCTGATGACCTTGCCCAGCACCAGTCCAGCCAGCCAAGGGTTCCCAGCGGGGGAGGCAGGTGCCTGATGTGGTCACAGGGGGACCCCAAACATCCCATGCCTCTCCCCAACAACAATGACTTTCTTGGCATCGGGACTTCAGAAAGAGGAGTCCCCAGAGCCAGGCGACCCCCAGGCCACATCCCTCATCTGCAATCCAGAATCTCCTTAAAGAGCTTTAGTCCTGCAGGTCCCAGGCAGCCGCTGTGGAGGCGGTGAGAAGTCAGAGTGTCTCAGCAGGGATCCAGTACCAAGACCAACAGCATGCTGGCCCAAACCACGCTGGGCGGGAGGTTCCCCTGGTGTAGAGCTGGCCTTTGAACCCCACCCTATGGGGCTGCCCTTCCAGTGTTGCTCCCTAGGTCCCGTCTCCAAAACTACATCTGGGCCTGGGCCTGGGGAGCCGTGGGGGCTGTGGATAGTTGGTCTCCACTCCCAACCCTAGGCCCTGAGAGATCAATCTCTGCAGCGCATATACATCACAGTTTCTGTCTCCTCCACCCTCCAAAGCTCCCTATGACCTCAGAATAAACTCTGCTCCCATGGCTGCAATCTCTTACTCTTTGGCGCTGTGGTGGGACCAGGCCCTGTGTACCTAGCTGGGTACTCTAGAAACTGAGCCCCAGCAGTGCCCCGCTGAGCACCCCAACCCTGGAGCCTCTCCCACTGCCTGTGCTGCTCCCTTCTGTCTTTCTTACCTGATGCACAGCATAATCGTTACCTCCACCTCTCCCCTCCCACCCAATAGTGTGGGCGGCTCAGCGCAAATGACACTTTTGCCAGGAAGCCTCCCCGGGCTGCTGGCCCTGGACCCCCAGCAGCAGCAGCATGGGCAATGACAGCTAACACAGGACACGCTGGGCCACTATCAAGGCCTGTGATCCCTGTCTAGGGTCACCCCACCTGCCTTCTCCAATGCCAGTGCCACTCACAATGCAGGTGACGGCACAGGCCTGCAGTAGGCGACACTCAACATTAGGAAAGGGCCATTTATTTCCATCCTAGGTGCTTCCTGCAGACAGCAGCCTCCAGAGTCTTTGCTGGGCACCCAGAGAACCTGCTCAGAGCTAAAAGTGTGTCCTTTATCTCTCTCCTGCTTTTTTGGCTGGCACCCTGACCTTACCCTGCAACCCTGAACAGGAGAATAGAGAGGAGGATGGGCCATAGATGCAGCAAGACGCCAGGGCCCCGGATGCTGGACTCAGAGCCAGAGAGGCCATTCACAGGCCCCTGGGCCCTCTTAGGACTGAGTAACAGCATACTCTCCCAAATTCCTCTTAAGTTCGCTTACACATCTGGTTAAAAACACACATAGCCAGACTGATAATGAAGCAGCTTTGAAAATTTTTCTTTTTCTAGTATGAAGGCTTGAACCCAAGGCTATTTCCCCAGCCCTTTTGTTATTTTTTTATTTTGAGGCAGGGTCTTGCTAAATGATTTAATCTAGCCTGGGCTTGAATTTGCAATCCTCCTGTCTCAGCCTCCCAGGGTGTTGGGATTACGGGAATGCACTATCACACCCAGTGTAAAAATTCTTTACAAGTACTTCCCAAGTGATTTTTGGAACCATATGTTTATAGTGGCTGCCATAGTATTTAATTTTATACTTCATTAGGAGCTTAAGAATACATTTTTGGGGCTGGTGAGATGACTCAGTGGTCTAAAGCACCTACTTAGAACAAGTTTAGCAAAGCACAGGAACCACGGTTCAATCCCCCAG